ATTTAGCTAAATAGAGAAATGTTTCATCTAAGAATACGATTCGACCAATCGACAAATTCTACGTGACGTATATACATATATTATTCAGTTTTCCGAAAAAGATACGTATCTTCCAATCAAAAAAAAATTCATGTCTTTTCTAGTAGAAAAACGAAACATTTCGAATCCGTTTGGTTATACGGAAGTGCTGTTTCACTGGAATCCCCGATTGTCTTTCCTGTAAAGACGATTTCTTCAGAGATTGCTCAAAGCCTTGATTCTACCAAAGCTCGAGTTTCCGTCCAATTGATTCCTACAGGAAATCGACAGATCGTCAAAAGACAACCGGATAGTAAACCACATTGTGTTTCAGAACTTCTACTCTTGGTACTACGTTAAAAGTGAGATCTTCTGAAAAAGGGATGGAGATAGGGATAGTAAGAGAAAGAAATAAAAACGTTGTGTAGTTCGATTTGCTGTACTATTCCTATATATATATACACACACACACACACACCATCACACACACTTTCATTTATTTTCGTATATACGTATGCGTATATGTATCTTTATATGTAGATATATACATACATACATATATATATATATATACACATGCATAGAAAATACGTGCAAGTATATACAAGGAGATGTTTTGCTGGCGCGTCACATCCGCGTCCTCTCTGTAAAAAGCCAGTCGCAAAATTGGAAGCCGTCCAAGCGATTGCGGAATAGTCCGACTCGCTTTAACCTCTGCTCTTCATCCCTCTTCTTCTCTCTTTCCCTCTTACTCCCTATCACTTTTAGCTTTCTAAAACTTTCCTACTTCCAGTGCATTGTCCTCTTTTAAAACCATTTTTACTTATATCCTTTACTATTCGTATATATTCATTCAATCCAACTTTTATTTCCTTTTATATTTTGAGTAAAACATTTTTGAGCCACACACAATTATATAAACAATTCGTAGATTATTAATAGGATTATAATCGTATGATTTTGATACTAATGTTATCGTTAATTGTTGATTAACTACGTTCTCGTTTTTTCGTTATTTCTCAATTTCGAAAATTGCTACAACCCACGTAGTTTCACATAATATTATGATCGTTTGATTTTATCTCTTACGTGAAATAGTTTTAAATTCGAGTAGAGAGCTTAGATATCTAGCTTGCATTCCCCGTCTACTTTTTTCTTCTACTTCTTTTCGTCTAAATTTCCATTTCATTTCTCAAAAAAGAGAAATAGAAATAGAAAGTAAAAAATGGCAAGAGCTTTCAAGAGTTATCTAGAAATATTCAAATTGAATTTTTGATAAGAATTATGACTTATACACACAAATATGAGAATAAGAAATTAATTACAAGAAGAGGAACGTTGATTATTATAAAAAAATTGTTTTCTTTTAATAAAAAGATAAAGAATGTAAAAGATATATACTCGAAACATTGTTAACAAAATATTTCGGCAACATGTTACTACACGTACGAAGAAAAGTAGAACATTGTTCACAACAAAAGAAACGTCAATAGTACAACATTGACAGCAGAGAAAAGGAAAAACTATGAAAAAGATATGGGAAGGGTACAAAGAATAAGAAACGAAAGCAAAGGAAGCAAATCAACAAAACTATAAAGAGTCGTTTTCTATCAACGCTAGTGCATTACTACTACTACTACTACTACTACTACTACTACTACTATTGGTGTTATTGTTCTATTTCCGTAACTATTGGATTCTTGCGTTCAAAAGAGAAAGAAAGAGAACCAAAGATTCGTCAAGTATTTCAGCTCAATTTACAAAGCGAATAAGTTTCGAAAGAAAATGCGATCCACTGTGTTCCTGACTATATATCTTGTTACAAAATAAAAGCACAAAAAAATAAATAAAATGAAAGAAAAATAGATAGATAGATAGATAGATAGACAGACAGAGAGACGAATGGACAAAAAGGGATAGTGGCTTGCCCTACGACACATTTCCACATAAGATACAAGGATAGAATGTGGTCCCAGTGGGGCCATTATTAGCAGACGCATAAAAAGCAACAAGGCACAACGTCTTTTGAAAGAATCGAAAAAGGAACCTGGGATAAGGATCTTATTTTTCACCACCCTCTTCTCCAAATCTAGATACGCGAGTATCCTATAGGTATATCGATAAAACATAGAAAATTAGGTCGACGTGATGGATATTATGTTTTGTACGATAAGATAAATATATTTATTAGCCTAATAAAGGTATATGTTTTGATAAAAGTTTAACTTTGTTTTCTTCCGATGAAACAAGTATGAAAAACTAAGTGAATTAATTGATTTTTATTTAAAAAAGCCTATAATAGTATAAACTAATAAATAATTTTAATTTTCAAGTAATATTATATATATATATAGACCATGACATTGTCAGCCTTGTAATAAGATATCACGTTAGTCCGAAGGGATTTCACAACCATGTGCTGCAACAAAAACTCTCAAGCCACTTATCTTGTCTTGTAAGGAAGACAATCGTGTTACCTGAGCATGCACACCAAGAGCTTGGATATTTCTATGCTATGAGAGGATTAAGAAGAAGGAAGGATAAAAAAGATGAAGAAGAAAAGAAAAAGGAAGATGAAAGAAGAAGAAGAGAAGAGAAGAGAAGAGAAGAGAAGAGAAGGGAAGGGGTGGTTAAAGTCAGTCTTGATCTTTATCGCGTTTCTAGTCGAGCATCGTGAGAAACGCTTCTCTCAGAGAAGAACAGGGTTTTCCTTTTACAAGCTACGTTACTTTAGCGCGTTATTCTCAAATAAAAAAATAAAAAAAATAAAAAAAAATAAGAAAAGGGTAATTTCATACTTGCTCTTATAGAATAATCGCTACCACTTCCGGCCGAAGAAGTTGAAGAGTGCATTAAAAATTTGCCTTAAGGATTATTTTAAGATCCCTCAACTGAGTTCGACTTATAAAGGAAAAATAATATGAAAAATAAAAGAGAAAAGAGAATAAGACCTTTCTCTCACGTCCTATTCGTCTCATTTCTCTATCATATACCTTGTATTCCATCCTCTAAAATTTATCGTTGCTCCACGTTGCGTCTATCTCTGTGTTTCAGGCACCTGCAGAATAAGTTACCCTTCATCGATCGCACTAGGACGGCAATTTGGGGTTGGAGTTATGGAGGTTACGCTACCGGTATGTCACTCGCTATGGATTTCAATGGTGTCTTCAAATGTGGTATGTCTGTGGCTCCTGTCACGGATTGGGCTCTTTACGGTACGTCTTATATAATACTAACTTTTATTTCAATTTTGACTTATATCATTTATCTTTTCAATCTTTTCACTTCATTTATTTCTTTTCAACGAACATTCGTTCCAACGTAGTTTCAAATTAAGAATTGCGACGGTTTAATTACGAATAGTGGTACGTGCAATGAAAGAGAAAAAATAAGTTGGTGAAAAAGAGATCGAGGGTATAAATGACCACGCGTTAATGAACATTAATTACCAACTTTCCGCACAGCAGCCGTGCAAGTTCTATGAACGCGATACATAACATGACGCCGGCCCTCTCTTTGTTATACCGAAACACATTAATCTCTTCTATCGTATTAGCTCTACCGAAGGAAATCCTTTAATTAGTAACCCAACTTTAATTACAGATTCAATATACACCGAACGATTCATGGGTCTACCAATCGTCACTGACAATCTTCAAGGATACAAAAAGGGTCAATTGTTGAACAAAGTCGATAACATAAAGAATAAAATGTATTATCTGATCCATGGCACTCTAGACGACAACGTGCATTATCAACAATCTCTTTTGCTCGCTAAAGTTCTCGAACAAAAGGACATTCTTTTTAGACAACAAGTAAAAATCTTGATTATTTTACGAAGAGATGATTAACTCTCGATATATTATTTATTTCAAATCGCATACGTATAATTTTGATTACTTTTTTTCTCCTTAGACGTACACCGACGAGGACCATGGAATTCTACAATCGCGAACGCATCTCTATCACTCGTTGGAAAACTTTTTAGACGAATGCTTTCAACCGTCGTCATGATTAAAGCACGGAACTTTTCTGACAATCTAGGCACCTTATACACCACTTGCCTCACAGTCCATTTGTAAATAATTTACCACTTGTACATAGTTAATGTACAATAATGTAATATGAGGTTTAGTGTACATAATTCGGGAAGAGAAAAATAAGAAATAAATAAAGAAACTAAAGTTGTCGTCGTTATCGTCGTTGTTGATGTTTAAATGATAATGATACCGACGACGATGTAGTTACGAAAGACAGATTTATGAGAAAACGTCTTTGATACATTTTGTAAAAAAGAATAAAAAAAAAGAAATCTGAATTCATTAGTAAAATCGAAGGCCTAAGAAAATCAGAGGCGCGTCGGCGCATTGATTTTCAGATTCCATAAAGTTTTGAGTGCACGCACATTTATATATTTTATTACCAATTAAAAAATCGCTTTTACTCTAAGCGATTCCGATAGAATATTTATCTCCTCTTGTTTTTCTTTTCTCTTTGTACGAGAAACTACGCGCGATTTCTAGTTAGATTTTTAAACAAATATTCAATCGCGCAAGCCTATTAAAATTTGGTAAATGATACTTCTGATACGAGAAGTTATTTATGCCTCTAAGGTATAAGATCTCGAAATTTAAAAGAATATTTTTATCTAATTGGCTTACATTATATTATACTTATTTTTATTATTATTATTATTATTATTATTATTATTATTATTATTATTA